TTCTTACGGAATGTTTATAACGCGTCATATTCCTGCCTGAAGTTTCATAAGCAGTCTTAACTTTAAAATTATCTTTCTGATCATGTTGATTGTTTTCAAATTGTCATATACGTCAACGACCTGCATGTTAACCTGACCCGTACATGCGTTGCACTATATCTTCATGTCTTCTAAATTTAGAAATCATTTGAATCACCTATAACATTTATCAATAAACCCATCATAGTCGTTGTTGCTAATCTTATTTGGATTTATGGATTGGCTTATCATATTAGCAGCCTAAAATGCGAACATAGTTTAGATAATAAGATTAAAAATTTAGGTACTATCAACCGCACTAGTAAAATAACTAAATCCCTAGGTAGCTGTTGGCTAAACAAATGTTTAAAATCAAAACTCCGTAGCCTACTAGTATTAACACTAAACGAATCTTTCTGAATTAAAATTTATAATTAAATTAGGCGTCTCAGATTCTTTAACGTTACAAATTTCTGATGATTTCGAATCACCTAAAGCAACAATACCTATTTCTCCACTGACTAATCCTCAGTCAACACCATGACTAGTTAAACATAATAGTTTCAGGATATCGTCATAAAGCATTGTCATGACTTGACAATCACGTAATATGATTGATAAAATTAATGAAACTATTAACAAAATGGGTCATCAAATTGACATATAATTATCACTAGTGTTGTCTTTCTTTTATCTTCATTCACTACAGATGATTACAGTATGTTTCTCTATCAGATGCTCACTCAGTAAATATCTCGAATCCTTGTCAATCTAATTGGAGGTTTAGCGACACAATAATGCATGCAAATAATCGGTATAAGCAGTCGAGCAAATCTCCTGCAAACTGAAAATATCAATGTCGAATTTACTCCAACACTGACTAAGGTTCAAGCCATTATCATAGACGTCAGTTGAGAGTGTACTCCCCTTGGTTACAACTTATGTTCTTCCTGATAATCACATGAGCATCTCTCACTGTTATTCATCTTGTAAAAGCTTATTTAGCCGAATAGATCCTGCAGCACCAAATCACCTAGTAATATGACACATCGGCCTAACTGATTTCAATAACTTATACCCCCAAATCTCAATTAAATCGTATTCCGCCTTATGATAAACTGCATACTTGCAACTAACTTGTATGCATCATCAGCCGTCAGGTATAAATAGTCTATGGCAACTCAGAACATTGAGTCTAGAGCATGTCTCTTACGAATACACTCATGTTTAACGATTTGTTCTTAGCTATCTGTCCAAAACTCATATAATTATCACTCATGTATTGAAATTTTGTTTCAATAACCATTCATGTGTAATAGTAGTATTAATAAATTCTATCACGGTCAAGTAAAAATGAGGTTGAGAAAATCTCCCTGTAACTAAATAAACCGTATCAAACTAACTGGAACACTAGTTTGAATTCTTCTCCACGGTATACTTTTGTTCCTTCAGTTAGCCTACAAATACAGATGCATTTGGAATTCAACTCATATGGACAACTTACCGGCATAATCGTTATTTGATTTCATAATTTAAACCCAAACTAATACCAATATTAATATTTCTACAACATTCATTACTGTAATACTTCTAAACACAAAATACTTACTACCTATACGTTAAGTTATTAACCAACGGCTATTAACACGCATCGTTTCATTATTATTATTATTGAAATCCCATTTTTTATAGCTCAAATAATCTTCACCCAAATTTTCATTTCAAGCATGTTAAGCACTAAGGCAGATATTTTAAAATTATTACATGTATTTCCCGACCGGATGCTGCCGCTTTCATTTTAATTTATCTTTCAGCTTATCAATACCCGGAGGATTCTTATTATCCTTGGTAACCTCCAGCGCGCAACGATCCCATCCAATTTGGTATCGAACCAACATTCTGGTGGAAGAGTAGTGTAGTGGTATTGGACAATAGCCACACAATTCACAAAGCTGTGAACACGAGACTACTCAGAAAATAGATATTCAATATTTAACGCGGCGAAATACCTAACGATGGAGAAGGCGCGGACAATGAATTGAATGGACTGGAGTTGATCGAATGGCATGGCTCGGCCATGCAGGCGTGGTCTCTGCTGAATGTTACCTTATATCTTCAATTCATATTCAATATATTGTTCTTTCTCTAGCCTAACCTTGTTCTACATCATGTATTGGTAATTGATACGATACAGTGAGTTGGTGTAGTCGATGGTGTGACTTCCACGTAAGATCTTATAGATTAGGCAGTCATATCATGACAAATCTACAAATTTAGGATTAGGTCTGTTATTAGAGCAGTACTAATATCATAGTAGACCCTAAGTCATACAAGCCTTCTTCAGTGTTCAGAATGAATGTATATGAAACAACACATGGCTTCACTGCTCCGCACTAGTAAAGCTTTGCCGTCTTGATAGTAGACTAATTTTAACGTTCCGTGGTAAAGGGAGAAAGATTATTCAAAAAATAATAAAGAAATATCAATTTAAACACTTGTTTACTTATGACGTTTCTATCACGTCTTATATGAAGAAAAGAGAAGACCGCAGAAATTAAAAGTGACAGTGGATCGAATTTTATGTGTACGTTTTCGGAGCTAAGACCATTTTTACAACGGAAAGTAAGAAACGAACTAGCAACAAAACAGGTCCAAATGGTACTTCAGCTCACCATCGCCCAGTCATTTGAGTATAGTATGGGAAATGAGGATTCAGTCTATACCCAGCTTGGTATCACTGATGATCAGGAAACAGACTTTGACTGCCGAGACCTTTGCCATCTGTTTGATTTATTTGAATGGTTGCTAAACAATTGACCATAAACACTATCGATCGAAGACGCTGAAGATAAACAAAATTTGCCGCCTAATAGTTTGCTATTACTAAGGGAATAGTCGAAGATACCATTGGAGATAAGTATGGAAGACATTGGAAACAGGTTAGTCATCTCGCTAGTTTGTTTTGGAAGTGGTGGTAATAGGATACTTCATATCCCTCTAAACACATCGATGTAGTGGTTGTGGCATTGAACATTTCAATTCGTCGTAAGTGATCTTAACAAATAGTAGAACGCAGCGAAATAGATAACTATAAGAGGGTTAGGACCATGACAATCCGCATGGTAAATGAGTAGTCAGAAGATACACATTTGTCTCTTTGATTAGTGAGCACTATATATGAGTGCAGGAAGTATGAATAAGCTTTCTGATCACTTCTTAAGCTCGGGGATTTAATGGGATTAATCAAAACTGAAGGAATTGGAGTCACCTAATGTTATATGGAGTGGTGTTCCTTGCCAATATATGTTTTTATTTCAGGGTTGTGTGTGAATGTGTATGAACACACTTGTAATTCCTTCCTAATCTCTATTTAACCGTACTCACTATCGAGTCTTTGGTTATAGTTTAGAAATTACTATTTATTTTTTGTTTTAGTGCTGGTTTTCGCTGCGTTTCCACTGACTTTCTGTGTTTCTCGATAACTTTTATGTTGTTTTACCTGTTATTTTGGTTATGGTGGCTACCATATTGACCCTTCCTCCTTATTGGCTGTGTTGCTTGAACTGAATGGAATTGTGTACTTTTCGTCATGAATTGGAACGCACTTACTGTTCTGGAAACTTTCAGTGTTGCAACAAATTTAGATATTCCCTAATAATTATTCTGTGTTCGATAAAACCAGAGAGAATAGAATAATAATCCTAAATCGATAGAAACGTTTATTTGATGGAACTGATTTGCTTATTTCCTGAATAATTATTGCCTGAGCAACTGGGTAGTTATATTTGTTTAGAAATGTCCCCTATCCAATCATATTATTTCGGATTTTGATTGAGCAGGTGCATTAGTGTCTAAGTCAACCTCCACAATTATCCGCTTATCTAGATTGTTTTAGATTTTAAACTACGGTTGCTATAGCTTTTTTCTACAGTTGTGTTTACCTAGGCTCTTCGGTTTTGCGATGTTTTCAAAGCTGTCAGAAATCACGTTTTCCCTAAGAACAAGGGTCGTGCAGAACTTGATACGTTGTCTGTTCTGAAATACTGTCTGTGCTCATGCATGCTATCTGTGCTTAAAAACAATGAGGTGGGTCACCAGTACCTCGAGACAGGAACCTAGGTATATTATCGATGAAAGAGAGAAAAGAAATTGATAATTCATAGCAAAATACTATCTTTAGTTATTAAGAAGAAGTCAAGTTTTCTCTCAAAGGACTCCTGTGAAGTCGCTAAGATTAGCTCAGTCGGTATTGAATTCAAGCATTTGACAACCATTAAGGAGTAGAAGTTATGACTACAATCCGTTCTGCTGTGATGTGTCTCCAAATTCTGGGTGTTATCCCTCAGGTTTTGTTGGAGCTAAGCATGATTAGGTGCTTAAGGGGGTGTCCAGAAGTGTCAAGCATACTATAAGCAATTGGTCACCTCTAAGACGCCTTTACTCTAATGGGCAAAGGTGTAGTGAATAAAGTTGCTCTCCATAAGGCTTGAATTTGAGTCCCGAACTGATTTCATGGTTCGCCGTTGGACACGTTCCAGAATGTCCTTATCTTTTTGGAATAGGGATGGAAATACCATGTTTCCGTACTCTGAATGGGGAAGAATGAAACTGATGAGGATTATGTGAAAAGTTCTTCCGTCAAACTGGCCAAAAAATGCGTTTCAATCTTACCAGTGCAATGTTTCCTTCAAAGGTATTTTTGTCACAGTTGGCGTAAGACTTCAAATCTAATGTGAAAAGTGCAGATTGTTCAAAGTTTTTCACAAAAAAGCATCAATTAAGCTACGTATAAAATGCCTCTTTCATTCTTATGATATTATAAGATCGCAACAGTTCCAAACATAGTAGTATATCTACACATCACCAATATTTTATTCAACATTCTAGTATATTGTATTTTATGTAAATTATCAGGCATTAATATTTTTAAATCTGGGATTTTGTTTGCTCCGGCATTTGTTTTTCTTTTTTCCTAAAGTCAGCGCTGTAGGAATGTGGCACTTTTAAAAGTTCTACTAATTTTCGGTAAAGGTTCTTTTGCTGTTTAAGTTAGCCTTTTTACTATATGTCTGCATTCTCTCGAACAGTTTGTGTACGCGAGAGCAATTCTTTGAATGAATTAACAGTTCTCATTGATGAGTTTGGTTACCTTATAGCTCACTGATGTACGTACGTAATAAATTACCGCTTATCTAACTGGTCATATATACCTGCTGCCAGTGGCCATTATATCATTCGAATACCTATTACTTGTATTGAATAATATCGCGCTACGTGATTTAGAGGTATTTAGAAGAAGCTTCAGTGCGCTGACACACTTATCGGCCAGATGACTTCCATTAGGATTTGCATGCGTAATCGCTTCTGAACCTAACAAGTTGTATGTACCCATAACGGTTGTTCCTCGTGATTATTCCCAAAATATGTCCAAATGATTATATCACTGCGTCATGAATCTTCAGTAACCAACCAACTCGTTCTAAAGAATTTCAGTAAGTGGTATTCCCTAAAGTAGCTTTGAGTTGGTTTTTGTGTACAGTCTAGCATTTTGTGCCTAACTATTTGCTCGGGTTCCTTCGTCAGATAGAATGTGAAATTTCAGGTTTCATTACTTGTACTATTCTTGTTCAAGAATCTATGCGGTAGGATCGTGTTTATTCAAGAACCTGATATAAATATCTCCATTTATTTGACACTCGTCATTCTAGTTTTCTGAATCCTCTTATTCACCTTAACTTCAGTCACTGGACCCACCTGCTCGTCCAAAATGTCTTCTGAAATTCTACTGTAACTCAGTCGTCGTTTATCGATTCCAAAGCAAAATATGTATTCTGGTTATTTTAGTTCTCTTGCATTGTTCATGGTATTTTACAAAGCACTAAATAAGTGTGAAATTTTCATGAAAATATTTTTTCGTCGTTGCTTACTTTCACTTATGTGTGGCGAATGTTAATTTAATGTGACTGAAGCTCCGCATTTTGACTGTTGGAAACATTGCTAGTCGATAAATGTTTTACTGAAGCTTTTGTTAATTTTACTTGGGTCACCGATAAGTTTCAACAAGTGTCAAACACAGTAGATGTTTTCCAACCAGCCTTTTGGAGACAGACATAAAGTAAGCTTCATACACAGCCAAATCATACAGGTTTCCCGTCTTTCAAACATAGTCAGTTATCTGCAGATGGTAGATATTTTCATCTGTTTAGTCATTTAAAGGGTACTCTGTTCCTAAATGATTGCTTCATTTAAAGTTAATAAATCAACTAACGCTTCTAGGTAGAAACTCCACCTTTCCGTATTTGTCTCATATATTTGAACTGTGTAAAATAATTTCACATAGGTTTGGTTCGTCTGTACATGTTCATTTTCTAGTATCATACTTGTCGGTTGTCGATTCTGTTCCAAATAGTCGTTTTATTTAGTGAAAGAGAAGGTTTAATAAGGTCTGTTGAAGTCTAAGCTTTGTTTGGAATACATTGTCTTAATTAACGATTTCTATAATCTTCCACCATATTGATCGGCTATCTCTGAGCTGAACAGTTACCAGACTTCTTGAATTGATTGAGTTCCCCTAGTTATTTCGAAATTCATATATTTTGTTGGAGTTGCTGAGCAGTTTTGTCATTGATTAAAACCCACTTATTATAGTGTGAACAGCGTAGTTTCGTTCGGTCTTGCCGATACAATAAATAAATTGCGATTCGAAACTCCATGGCTACTAAATTTAACTTACTTCGGGCAAAATATCATTGTTTATGGCGGTAAACTTGTCTTAGTATACGAACAATATTATTCAGTGTACGTGTTCAAGTATCCAACTTATTTAACAATTACACTGGTAAATTGCAACACAATTTGTCTTAGCATTATTTCTATGGAATCATTGTTCCGGAAATAAAACCTGGCACAATGTACCAAGCAAATACAGGAGGATAATTACAACTTCAATAATATCTGTTGCTTACGCCATGTGTTATAAACGTTTGTTCTGTGTTTGAATTTAATTTTCCACTTGGAAGTCTAACTCACTAATGAAATCTTGTTGTGTGCTTCTTTCTAAAAAAATCATTTGTGCTACTTATATTTTAACAGTAGATTGAGATTTAACCCTAAACGATCCTAACGTTTTAAGGTCATGTACGAATAATGAAGGATATCTTTCAGTTGCTCTTAAGGCTTCATGCTAGAATACAATTTCTGTCCCGTGAAATTGATTTGGCATATGTTAAGGATCTGAGTGGAAATATAAAGCTTTTACTTATACGTGGGTTCTTAGCTGAAATTATTATTCATAAATTATACGCTGAGTTATGAATGAGGCATAAACCCTTTATAAAAAATATATGACTGGTTAATATATTTCCTCATTTTTATTTGTTTTCTGGTAAAATTTTGGCCTTTACACTCCGCTTTCTCTCAGTCAGCTACCATGGCAACAGACGAAGACTTATCATATTCTGACGATGCATTTGAAGGGGAAGACAAAGAAGATACAGATATGCTAAACTCAGCAGAAACTTACAACGACTACCATCAACAAATACTTTTTTATCGCAATTTTGACTCGGTTTCAGGACGAAGTCTTCAAAGACCTAAAGTAATCGAATGTAGATCTCTTAATATGATTTGCTATTTCAGACAAGAAGAAGACGATGGACTCAGCGAGACATGACAAACGCGTACAACGCAGTCAAGTATCAGGGAATGTCGCTTCGTGGAGCTGCGACAGCCTTTAATGTTCCCGAATCTACTCTTCGTGACAGAGTTCACGGAAGAGTCAGTTTAGAATGCTCTCGACCAGGCCCCCCAACATTTTTCACCTATGAAGAGGAAAAGAAGATGGTGGATCATATCTTATTCATGAGTAAAATCGGTTACCCATATACCCGAAATCAAGTATGTATATTGATACATATTCTTATATTGTTAAATTTTTTATGTTGAACATGAACTAAGCTTAATTTTATTGATACTTAGGCGGCCTACGAGATCCCCATTTTCAATCACTTATATGTGAGTGGACTTCTAACTATGTTTATTTTTACGTTGAGTGTTTTATAAAGAAACAGGTAATTTTACTGAATAGAAAATCTGTTCTTCTGGCTCTTAGTCTTGTCTTTGATAGAAATTCATTCGATGGGTTGAATTAATAATCCGATCTCGTGAGTAACCATCAAACGGCCATATTGTATTGTTGCTTTCATGTATCCATCGACATTCATGCATTCATTTTACTAATCCAAAGTTCACTCACCACTAATCACTGTTTCAAATCCATAACAGTTCGAGTTTTTCTTCTATTTTACTTCGACAATTATAATGGATTTTTCTCTTTTTCCTTTAACTTCCTGTTGTGCCGATGTAAATTGTGGCGATTTTAACTGACAAACTTTCCCACCAATTTTGGCATTATTAATGTCTAGTTGAACTCTTAAGCCATTAATAATAATAATAATAATAAGAACCGAAACACCACAGCGCCTTTCTTTAATTTTCGCCCATTTGCCCACTCGATAGTATAAAGAATGAATTGTAATAAGTCCTGCTGTAGCTAAACGTACATGGTTATATCAGTTGGTTACCTAAATGAATAAATATTGATGGGGTGTTACACAACTGGACACTTTCACATGTCGTTGTGATAAAGCCATAACAATGATCATCTTTAGATTTTATTCGTTATCAGCTCCAGTGGATTATTTTTAAAACTTGTGCTTGTACGTTTTCAACGCATTAGTTCGCATTAAGATTTATTTAAGTGAGAACTAGTATGTGTACATAGCTTTAGATTCTTTCCGTATTCGATTTGAAAACAAGAGAATTAACAATGGAGGGACTTTTTGTATACTTATTATGCTGTGAAAATTATTACGCACTAGGATGATATAAACGATCTTGACCCACCAGGACACTGACAGTTTGTTGGGAAATCTATATATATAACGATTGATAATAAAGCTGTCGTCTAAAATATTGGTTCATGTGTCAAATATTATAACAAGCTTCTGTACTTATTAATAAACACTCTCAAAAGAAGTTGAGTTGATCTTTATTTTCTGATAGTCTAGCTACAAATTGAATAGATTATTAGTATTTACCGTTTAATAAGTCAGATTGGTCTCAATAATTTAATGTCATCGCACATGCACTCGTTTTTTCTTGTTGCATGTTATGCTCTGCGTATCCTTGGAGAGTTCGAGTACACACGGATTTCAAGTAGGTAGATTATAAACGTTTGGTCACCTCAGTTTATTATCCCAAACCAGAAGTGGGGTTAAACGGGTTTACTAATTCCTCTTGTTATACTATAATTTTCTGAAAGAAACTACAAAATGAAGTGTTTGATAGGTAGGCGTGTAACCGTATTATGTAAGGAAATTTACCAACTTTGATGATTCACACTACACCCTCCCATTTCTCAGTAACACCTAAAATAATGGAGGACCTACTTCAGGCTTTTATCGGCACAATTCACGTCAACACAGCGGCAGATTACTTCGATAAATACTAGGAAATGAAAATGGTATTGGTAGGTTCACTAGGTAAAATACAATTCAGAAGTTAGTGGATAGTTTCGAATAATTCTGTGTTTGAATTTCGGAAGATAATAAATTAATGCATTGTGCAACAACATTTTACTCAAATTGTACTTAGCAATCGCCTTTAAGTATAGTACGTACTTGGTAAGCAAATTACTTTCAATGGCCGGTAGGAGCTTGTGACTATACTAGTGTTTTATGGTAAACTATCTTAATAATTCGAAACCTTATGCCTCTGGATATTTTATTTTAATAAAAGTTTATGAGACAGAATTCCCTATGTTTTGAAACCAAGACGTGAATAACTTCAACCATCTTCACAGATTTGCCAAGTCAATCTAACTACAAATGAGTTACTGCCTCATTGCATGTAATTTTGTTCTAATGCCGTGAGACACGAATTCCTTATGATAAAGATGTCTGACGGCCCTCGATATTTCAGTACTGATTTCCCCTAGTAATTCCTGAATTTAACTGCAGCACCGTAAAAAATGTTGAGGGTTTGTGATCTTTTAGTGTACTCTTTAGTCCGTTATTTAATTACTAAAGTTCTTTTTCGGACTGTGAAGTACAGTTTCACAATAGTTTTCAAATGATGTACTGCTTAATAACATGTAACTGACATTAAAAATTAAGAGCTGTTCGTTAATAATATTATACCTTGATTTAAAAATACTTGTGTGAATCTAGTATCTCTCAGCTCTTCACGTTTTTGGGCTAAGGTTACAAAAACCACAAAACTATGATATGAAGTTTCATCAAAATATATCAAAATCAAAACTAATGGTGATCCTACTGTTGTATTCTTTTATCATCATGGAGTAACAGCTTGGCAACTGCAAGATCTGTACTGGTTTTCCTTATCTTGATTATTTTTAGTTACTTAACGTTATAATCAGTGTTCCTAATCTACAATATATTGGCGACATTTTAATTTCATCTATGTTAAAAGACCCGCTGCACCAAAATTCGGAATTCCAAAACTAACCTTGTTCGCACCCATCTTAATTTTAAAAATTAAGGGTAGAATGACCTTAAGCTAACTCTTCACTAAATTAAATATATATATATATATATATATATATATATATATATATATATATATATATATATGGAGAGAGTTAGTTTTGCTGAAATTACCCTGCTTCTTCCATTTGTACATCCGGCACTGCTTATTAAAGTATCGTAATAATTAATATCTATCGTACCTTCGATTTTCAGTTAAGATTTGTTGGGTTAGATCCGAACGTTGATTTCTTAATTTTTACCATTCTATTAAGCGATTCTAATCACGTTTATTGTTTCTCCATTAAGGTAGTCGAACTCGCTGGAGACATGACTAAAGCGGTCGGGCGGATAGCTCCATTTAAATACCTTAATCCAAGTCAGGCCTGGTTTTATGCTTTTCTTAATCGATGGCCAGACCTAAAGAATTTCTTGTTCGGACCTCGAAGTAATCGGAAATCTAAGGGAGTTTCAGGTGATTCTATACAGTCTTATTTTGAACAGCTCGAAAAGGTATGTTTGAAGATTTTTAAATCTCAAGTTATCGTTCTCTTGTTGTCTACTATACAGTGCTGCTCAGCACTCAATACATTACCTGTGGTACATTTGTTTGTAAATAGACACTAACTCGGTTAGGCCATACCATATGACTTAACGTCAGCAATGAATCAGGCTTTATGTAATCCACGCTACCTTGATATTTATAATCAAATATATCACTTGACTACTTACTCCGCCTCCCAAGAGTGCCTAAAATTTGGTATTAACGATTCCTCTTACGACCATAAAGTGTAATTATGCCCTTCCCACGACGTTGCCAAACAAAATATGTTTTTCACATCACTTATCTAACTAGGAACATTTTTATGACAATTTTTAGAAAAGTCTGTTTCACTTAGAAAGACCGATGATGGTTTATTAAAATTTATTCTCAAATACTACTTACCTTCAAAGCCTTATGGTCTATCAAAATATAAGTTATTATATAAAAAGTGTAAAATGTAAATATGACTATTATATAAACCAACAATACATTTGTCAATATAATGTAAATTTTTTAATCAGCCAGCTTATTATTACGTTCTGATGATTTCGTTCATCTTGTTTTGCCAAGGCGGTATGGCGACATGAACCAACGCACATCTGTGACAGGCACTGCGTTGATAATAAATGACTGACTCATGCTTTAAACATTTTCGCGTTTTCAATCTTCAAACTACTTTCCTCTAGCTCTTACAAGTTGATTGTATAAGATTAACAAGCTACAGACAAATAAATCGTTTTCAGTGACAGATTTCTTTCCGCCTTCAATTAATGAATTGAGTACTAATAACACCGTTACTGTTTGCACTCCATTACACTCAACCATCTTTTTAAATAATAAGTAATTCATTTTTATTAGATATTTCAAATAGTAATTTGGTGACAATTTTCATCGTAAATATAAGTTATTCAGAAAGATGTGATGTAAACTGAACATAACATGATTGTCGCTTCGATCTCTTTTCAAATTAAACAATAAACATCTTCCACCAATTCAATGATTGAATTGTCTTTTTGATAATTTTATAGGTTCTAAATAAATATGGTATCAAAGACAAGGCCGAACATTTTTGGATTGTTGACGAAGTAAGCATAAGCTGCGAGAACCAACCCCCACGTATTCTTCCCATCAGTATACAACGAGCTCAATCTGTTAGCTATTGGAATCCGACTGTTGCAATGCTTGGAGCTGCTAACGGTGTTGGTGAAAAAATCCCTCCTTTCCTTATTTATCGAGGTGATGGGATAACATGTAGGTATTTGTGAAAAGAAAGATCAGTTTTTGTGTATCATATGATGCAGATGTTTTTTCTTTCCAATCACTTTATAACCATTCAAAGTTCATAAGTTCATATTTTTTAAAGTAAGTATTTACTTCAAACATGTATTTGCATCCAATCGTTTCTTATTCTTTATAGAACAAGTTAATTGATAACTTCCTAAAATTTTGTTATTTATTAAAACATTGCACTTTTAAGGTCATTGGTCAAGAAACATAATATGTACATTCTTTAAGAAATATTTCCTGAACTTCAAAATCCATAAATTGTTTGACTAATTCAATATATCACTGTTAATATGTCTTACATAAATCAAACATCTAATCATTATGTTTTTCAAATAAGTGTTTGCTTTCATTGTATACAGCTACGACCGATTAGTTGTTAAATTCATGTTTTCATTTTTATTCTGTTTGCTTTTATTCATTCAATGTTTGTTCACCAAAGTCGATTAAGCATCAAATTCATATACAAATCTCAATTTCAAATACATCCAGGATATTAATTTCATTGTTAAAATCTGTTTATATTTTTGGTTAACGGAAACTGAAGCTTGGAATGGTTCTATGTAATAAACAATGAACTTTAATACTATCCTTACTAACGTCATCTTACTAAAAGCTGAATTAGAGAATTGAATCATCCTTGTAATGTTTTGAATCCGACCAATATTCAATCGACAATGAATTTTGTCATCCCCCGAATGACTTTCTCGAAGTGCGTTCGACAGACATACTGGAATGTAATGGTTCTGTGTCTTATTTATTGAAGGATGATCAGCAAGTTGTTTGTCACAAAGTTGCAAAGTTAGCTTGAGTACAGTTACATGCAGAATAGTAGTATTTACAGAGCCTGCTTTGATTGTAAAGGAGTGCTGCGAATGATTAAATTCCTCAAAAAAACCTCCTATTCATTGTATTTTTTAATCTTGTTTTTTTATTAATTCGACCTTTCACTTTTTTACATCGAAATTCTTCACTTTTAAGGATGTTGCAAATGAAGTCATATAAAATAGCTACTTGTGAAAAACCATCATTTTCGGTCTCTCCCAATACATATTCCACGATAGATTTGTCTCTTAGATTATCTGTATCTAATTGGAGGTTAAGGAGAATTTAGTACGTGTTGTATCCGAACGAAGTTAATAGTTTCTCGGTATAAGTAAGTTGTATCACTACGCTAATCTGAGCCAGACTTATTACTTGGGGGGACTCAATCTATTAACCAGTGCTTACGATGTTATTTTGTAATGTCATGCATGCATAGTCAGTATGTAGACGTAAGTTCACAGAACCGTTAGTTTGCATTTTAAAAAGTCACTGATATATTTGTAAATAGTGTTCATTGATTTATTTCTCGGTGAATTTACTTACTTTCAGTAATTGACTCCTGTTTGTAAGTGTCTAACATGTCTGATTATTCTTGTTACTTTCTAACAAATAAGTGACTTCTTAATTAAGTAGACTACCAAATTTTTATATTACTCGAACTTATCACGTGAAGCTGTTTTTTTGAAATATTTAATTTTAATTTCTAAGAATGAGTTGTCATAACAATTAATTTTTTATCTTTCAGCATCTATGATGGAAGGATCCGTACGAGGGACTAAATTTTCATATTCAGCTTCGGGTTGGGTTAATTCTGATGCTTTTATTCAATGGTTTCTTAAACATTTCCGTGTATTAGTATCTGTTCGACCGCTTATATTATTTTACGACGGTCATTTACAATTTGTTAGTGTACGTGTCTTAGAACGCGCTCGTGAAGACGGCGTTTTCCTGTTTCCACTCCCTCCCCATCCAGCTTATAATCATTGCGTAGAAAATACATGTTTCTGGGCATTTCAGGTAAATCAATATTGCTGACATTATCGTCATTGTTAATAATACTAGCTAGTACTTTTCCATTTAATATTTTATTATTTCTTATCAAATATATTCAATTTAAGATCCTGAAATCTTTTAGTACTCTCAGATTTATTCTGTTCTGACCAATAAATAATCAGGTCAACAGTATTAAACTTTTTATTGGATAAGAATATTCAGTACGTGATAAATGATAATATAGTTTATAGACTACACTATTGCGTATATTTATAGATTTCCCATTAGAGTGTATTTTTGTCTTCTCTTAAAATCTTTCTGTATTTGGTTATGAAAGGTAAAATTTCCTCCTCTGATGGTTCGCTATCTCATTGAAAATACCTACTGCCTAAAATAACTTATACACACTTTGTTATATAAAATTTGAGGTACATCAATCTTATTCTCTCTAAAATAATCCCCACTTGTGGCATTACACTTGACTTATCTCTGTTTCTTTTTGTTAAAAAGTTTACTAGAAGTCCTCGAAAGTTAGGCACTTCAACTACCTTTTCACTTCATGTTTCTCTGAATCTCAAATCTTTAAACAGAATTATGTGCACGGATTTTCCCAAATTCAATTAATTAACAATAAATGTGTTTTCTCTGTAAATAAATAGCGAAATTTTACGCATTCTAAAGTTTTTATTCTAAGTTCCATCGAAATTTTTTGTTTAGTCTTGTATTTATTGGATATATATATATTCCCAGTACGGGTACACCGCTGTTTTTTAAGAATTTAATTTCCTACTCACACTAAAGTAAGAACTTACTAGAAAATTACGGATGTGCAGCAGTGCTGAGAAGTTTTGTTGATTATCTATATTTCTCATAAACGTATGATAGATTTTTTCGTACTGATTTCCTATAGTATGGGCTTAAAGTTGATAAGTAAAAATGCTATGAGATTATCTACAGTAGTTATTTTTCGCCTTTGATTTCCGATAATGTAATCGGAAATTTGGCTTCTGTGTTAACCCAGTTTTTTACATTTATTTTTCAAATCTAGTTTGTACATGTGCTTATACCCTAATTGATGAATGATTTCATTTTCATTTCATCTCCATTATTATTATTATTATTATTATTATTATTATTATTATTATTATTATTATTATATAATTAATCATAAAAATTTGTAACACACTAACAGTTTAAGGCAAACATCATGTGACATATAACCTCTCTCGATTTGTCGCAGTCATTTAGAGAGATTTAAATGGTATATATGATCGTTCTTTTCTTTCGAAATAATGTCATGTTTTTTTTCACTTCCTTTCTCCACTTGATTTTGGAACATAGAAAAAGTTAGTTACTTATTTACTTACTCCTGTTACTTCTCGCGGACCATAGGCCACTAACTAGGGATCTCTAATCAACCCTATCTTGGGCTCTTTTCTCTATTTGTTGCTAATTTCTATTCATGCTCCTGATGTTCACCTCCAATTCACCACTCCATTCTTTCTTTGGTCTGTTTCTTTTCGTTCCGCATTTTCGAGTTAGGGCTTGCTTTGTTACACAATTTGTTGATTTTTCTAAAGTGTTTTTTCATAATTTCCTCCTCAATCGTAAGCTTGTTTATTCTCTGTCAGATTGGGTTATTGCTGATGGTCTTTGGCTAATCGATCTAGATTATCTTAGATAGACAGCTGTTTATAAATACCTGTAGTTTTTTTATGATGGTTGTGGTAATTCTTCAGGCCCCGTGCAATAAAACTTTCAGACATGTTGAATATCATTTCATACTTGCCAATTTGATCATCCATAGCAATTATGAAACAGTGGTCGAGTATATGTCACTAAGGGAGACATATTAGTTGAATTTATGCAATATAAAAATATGATAATATGATGGAAAATATCTTAAGTATTTTTGACTCATAATTAGAAATATCAAAGGAGTAATGTTGAATTTAGGCACAGTCCTGTGCTAAAAATATTATATCATAAAATTTAAACATCACATGACATGGTATATAATATGAAGAATAGTAGCTAACTCAATCCATGTATTCACAGATTCTATCTTTAAAAACGAATGTAAATTGCACAAACGAAAACATTTCTTACTACTGCTATATGCATGTTCCTTTTCAAATTACTGGTGTTCTTTTTCATATTGGTTTACTCTAATATTTCATCCATCTGGTTAGTTTTTCAGTGAATTTAAAAAATGATGACTTCTGGCGTGTGGGTATAATACGTTTTACACTTTTTATTTGAACAATTTTAAATGCGATGTACTGTTTTTATGCACACTGAACAACTGGTAGTGATCAGTGTATACCAGAGTTTTTTAAGATTTACCGAACTATTCAGATGATATATCCTTTCAATATTGTTATTTTGTTTGTTGTTTTTACTTTTCGTTGTACTGTACATTAGTTATGTATTGTGTAAAAATATTATTTTTACAGTACTTTATATTAATGCTATTAATCACTAGTTTTTTTCATACCCTTTGATTTTCAATATTTACATTAATTTCATTACTGAAGGGTTATTTCAAAAAACGTTTGGATCGCTTTTTTGAACAAAATCCTAATCAACCACTTTTACGTAATAACGCTTCACCTATATTAACTCATGCTTATGAAAAAGCTTTACAACCAAATAATATGATTAGTTTGTTTGAAAGATTGGGAATTTGCCCATTTAACAATTTATCCTCATCAATTGGCGCCTATTTGAACATGGTATGTTTTCATTAGTTATTTAAATGATTAATCTTCATAAACTATAAATCTATCTTAAAGAAAAAGATTAGTGTTTTTTAATGAAATATCTGCTCATTTTAATGTTAACCAATGGAGATTAAGCTAGCTTTACTGATTTACTGTATCATATACTTAATCACTTGTACTACAAGGTAATAAGTAGAAATATAAACTTATTATTTTGGTATGCGATTGTATTTTTAGCAATTTACTTACCTTTGATTTTCATTTTATAAGAGATGGTTATTATGACCAAGAAACGATTATAACATAGATACTCAAATGTATGTTTGTGTACATGTGTGATCTAAATTTAGATTTCTGGAGAACTCGTCTTTCTAAAACTTCTTATTTTATCCATTATCGCATCCTTGTACTATATAGTGATGATCAAAATATTTTAAGTTAGAGGCATGGTACTATAGCGATAACAAACTTTGCTTAATTGTTAGTTATATCTTAACAAGGAGAATATTAACGGACGGAACAACGTACTTCCGTGTTTCGTAAACTTCACTTTCAGTTTAGCTGAATGATATTTGATTAGTCAGTCTATTAAAAGCTATTCGGTATAGGCCATCAACCCTCACTGTTCAAGTATTGACTATCGGAATTCATTATTTCAATAAAAAGTGGTCAAACTATAGAATCGAATCTATATGAAATACATAGTCTCGTTGAATTTTCAATCAATGCCACTTAAAAGTCGATACGATTTCCCGTGAATTTCATTAATATTTCGACCCACCAAACCGTAATATGTTTAATTCTATTACCTCTAAGTCACCATCAAATAACGGAGGCTACTGATTAATTACCACATTACAATGATGTAGTTTATGGTATCAAATGAATTCTTCCAATCATAAACACCGTAGAACTTTTGGCAACATAATGATTACGCTAGAAAAAATAGAACTATGTTTAGTTTATTAGTGTTGGTCATCTTAAGGGAACCACTTTACCATGATTGAACGATTAGTTGTATTTAGACAATTAATTGCTTCTGTTACTCTTCATGGAGATGCATAGACCGCTCACCGGGTTACTCCATCCAACTCTGCTATGGGCAATCCTTTCCAGTTGCTATTCATTCTTTTGATGTCTACTTCCGATTCCCGACACAAAGTGTTCCCTGGTCATCTTTAGTCAGTACATAGGTGTTTTGAATAATATGAACTATAGTGAACAACATAGATCAAAATTTTATCATTTTTTCGTAGTTGATACATCTGTTTGTTCATTTATTGGTTTTTATTTTATTGTTTAGCATTATTTTTCTGTTAAAATTATATACATGTTAAGTCTCACACATTTATTTGTCTTTATCTTGACGAATAACTGACAACTAGTTATGTGTGCCGTAATATACTTTCATATTTCACTGTAGCTAGAGTTTATAATTTCACAGTTCGAGATATGAGTCAATCATTTTCTGTTTCTAATCTGTGAAATAAAAAAATAGTTTTTCTCATTATTTCATCTTTTAAGCAGACAGAAGATTATGAACAAAATAGTTTGGCTGTAGAAAATGTGGATCCATATTTAGTTAATGAAATGGCGAATCCTTATAACCAGTGGTCTAAACTAGGATGTGCATCAAACTACCTCAATTATGTTAATCCAAATGGAGATTCAAAAGACCATGTAATCAATTCCTCGAATGATTCGCATCATCCAGTTGCAGCTGTCACTAAACTAGCTACGTATGTAACTGATAATACTGAAAGTAAGTATTATTTTTTGTACCAGTTTTTTTATTCTGCATGTTCTAACCTGTATAGGCGAACAAAACAAAAAAATATGGTCGTTCCGTCGAAGAAATTACAGAGACGATGCAAAATTCACCATTCTTAATAGAAATACATGTTTTCGATATAAAGTGAAGTTTTGGTTTAAAATTAGTGACTGTTTTAAAACATGGCTTTGAGTTATGTCGATAATAATTTTAAAATCTACTGCTCTTACTACTCTAAGAATTGTATACTGCAACTTTATGTGCCTCCTCAAAACTCATACGAAGTAATGATTTATTAAACTATCTTGATAAAGATGTACTTCGACAATTTGCCAGTCATCTTCTACCTCATCTGTATTATTATTTCAAACAGATAGCCCATTACCACACATAGAAATAGACTTAGCGTTTCACCAGATTGCTTATGAGATGTTCTTCAAACGTATGATGCATATCTCAATATTTTGCTTATGGCTGTCTTGTTGAATCATCGAGTATTTTCTTAGAATATTCCTACGTTTCTAAAGATAATAATAACAATCAGGTATCGATTGTCATCTTATTTGATGACGTTTAAGCACTTTACTTTTGTTCATTAGTTAAAATTCCGTGTACTTATAACTTGGTCATTTTTACTGATATAACAAAAACTCTTATCTATGTATGGGATTCTTAGTCTCTTGAATGAAATCAATGTACCAGGAATCGTTTCGGAAATCTACTTCATTTTAATAATGTAAAAAATTCGGTCTCACTGTTAATACAAAAATCACATAACTCTCATTTTAGTTTTAATTATCCTACACGCTACTTTGAAACAATTGACAGTTGCTTATATATCTTTGTAGCTTTTATCATGTTACGGATGTGACTTTTGTCATTACGATAAAAATTTAGGTATTTTGAAGGTAGTATTTTAACTGATCAGCTAAGTTTTCTTTCGGGTATTCTTTTTGGGGGAAAATAACTTCATATTTTGCACTCGTTGCTGCCCTTTGCGTTGACACGTATTTTTTCGGTCTGTATTTTTCGACTTCATCTGCCTAATCGGTCTCTACCAGCAGTTCTTCAATATGCTTAGGTTCATTTAATCGAACTCTTCGCCTTATGAACTGTTATTGGAACAAATTAATATACTTTGTCATAATAATACACGATTTACTTACAACCCCGAAAGCTCTTATCGTTGAATTACAGGTTTTTAACTATAATCTTCTTAACTTATTAAGAAACAATGAATTATCTTACTATAAACCTTTAGTGATTTTAATTTCTTTCATCATGTAAATAATATCAAGATATATTCTTCGTTCATAATCATTATCCCGACATATCATATAGTGTTGATTGTTTCTTCTACCTTTAATTCATCATCACAATAAAAACACCTTGTAAAATGTAATTTCATTAAAAAAGCACAGTGTTGACACATGGTATTTTCCAGACTACTCCATCAGAGGTAAACTCTGTTTTACTCTGTCAGATCGCCCTCAGAATGTACTTTATAGTACTTTAATTATTTATTGACTGGATGCTTTGTTCTGACTTGTGTCATCTCTAATTTTACGCATTATATATGTGAAAAGAAATCTATATTTGTTGTAGGTCGACTCTAATTATTGTAAATGGACTGACGATAAATAAAAAATATTTTTGTTGGACCCATAACTTTCTTGTACTGTATTATAGAATGAAAAACCCTACTTTTTATTATTTACACAGATCCCTTAACTTCCAATTCCACTGTGGTTAATTCCAAACCGACTGCAACTGTTCTTACTTCCCATGAAAACACATTTAAAACTCAGCATACTGTTTTAACACAGTTTTCTTCTTCAGGGCGATCAGTTACTATACGTTTGCATGGTCCTGCAGCAAATGCTATTCAACCTGTTTCTTTGCATGTAAGTGAAGTATTATTGAATATTAATTGTATCGATTGTCAAATATTATTCTTACACTGATACGTGCATTGGAAAAAAACAGTCTAAACTTTCACTAATTAGTTATTTTCCCCAACAGTAATTGACTGATAATATGTGCTTTTGTCCAAGTAACTTTATACCTAGTAGATGATGCGTGTCTCAGTAATTTAAATTCTAGTTTTTCTGCTAAAAAGATACGATTCTTCACCTTATTTTACATTCTTCACTTGGTTAGTGTCTGTAACTCCTTACATAAATGTGACTCACAATCATGTAAAAAAGGTCTACCGCTGTGTTTTTTTATTGTTTTATCTAATGAGTATCAGTTCATATATTCCATACCATGCAGCGACCAGATCTCATTTTAATTTTCAATTTCAAAACATTTATATAATATGCATAATTGTCGCGTTTTAGTACTCTTATATTTGTTTGATATAATGAAATATTAATAATATTTTGTCAATACTTTAGGAAGAATTTTCATTTCATCAGATCAAAGATCCTCCGTCATTTGACGTTTTAGCTAGTTCAGATGTGGATATTTCGCATGAAGAAGAAGTTGACTGTGAAGTTTCTAATTCTCAATTAATACAAAGTGAAACACCCAGTCACACTAGTCAGTATTTCCAGGTATCTGAAACAGAAAGTGGTCATGGTCCCGTGAACGGTGGAGTTATTGAAAGTATTGATGGAGTGGAAGATGGTGAAGCACTCGACTTTTGTGTTGTTTGTGGTCAGTTAGAACCTCCAGAGTTATCTTGTCAACCAATTTCTGATCAGGCTAATGCTGATGATTTACAGGTAACAGATATATAAGTTACACCTTTGAAATACAATAGGCAAAATAGTATTTTGAAGTAAAATGATCGTTTAGGTACTGTTAGTCCATTTTACAGAATATTAGAGTTTCCATGATTCTAATTTCTATCATCGATAAAAGTTTATGTATGTTTACAACTATTATATTAATAGTCAGGAAAGTTATCTTAATCCATTCGGAATTTTCTATTCCACTGGAATTGTTCAATAATTTTTCATCGGTAATAACCGTAATGAAAATTTAAGTCGCTTAGTTACTTTTTCAACTTATTCTGAAATGTTAGTTGTAACAACATTCATTTGTTTTCTTACAAAATACTTAAAACTAAATTTATCAAAAATGAACTATTAACTTTTCTTCGTTCACTTTTAACACGACAGTTAACTTTAGGATCAACATAGAAAGCAACGGATACTTTTATTAAAACTGAATAATCTTTTGAGAAATATACTCTGTGAATAAATTTAATGTTATAATACAGAAAAAACGTCAATTCTTTCAACGTCGTGGTATTTCACTTGATAATATCTATCGTCAGATTAGCTAGATCAGCTTTAGAATTCCAATAAGTAGTTATTATTAAAACTAAACATTATTATTTGTAATTGTGTTTTTTCATACCAAAAAAAGAAAATTTTCAAACCTTAACAAAATTAGTTGTAATCAAACGTTGTATATCTAATCGACAACCTGATACGGATAGTTAGTCCAAACATTTAATATCTTGTAGATAGATATATCCCTATTACTTATCTTATATAATTTACTTTTCAGTTTGAGTGACCTACTGTTTAACTCATAGGCATAGCAACTTATTGACGATCACTCCAATATATGTTTTTGTAATCTTTCAATTTTACTGTCTTGGTCATGTTTTAACCACTTTTAATTACACACTTATCCAATTTAATTCTAATGTTTTCCCCTGCCGCTTATTTAGGTTATTGATTGGGCACATTGTGATTACTGTAACCGTTGGGTGCATCTTAATGGCTGTTGTAGTGAGGGTGCTGTAATAGGAAATAATTCATTTATGTGTGTTGTTTGTCGGAACGATAGTACAACAACGGTGGGAAGTGTAAGAAATCTTCAACAAGAAATAGTGCTGACCAAAACTGACAGTGGGGAGCAAGAACAATCGATGGATGTTAAAGTTTAGATGTACAAAAATATTGTTTTTATTCTCTTTTTTATTGTCTTCCATTGAGGTAATTGTGTATCATGTACATAGAGACTGATACAAAATATTTTTGTAACGAACCAGGGAAGTTTTTACATTCCAAGTTGTATTTTTGTTTAGTTTCATTGCACAAGTTGCTTATGTTCAGTTTGTTTTTATTCTTTACATGAGATAAACTTTATGAAAACCTTTTATACTATATTGTATAACTGGCAAATTAACTGTTGTTTAAAGCTTTCGTGCCCAGTAAACAATTCGTTTGTATGTTTGTAAAAATATTTTTATCATCCTTTGAACACAAAGTTGAGTTTACCCTCTAATTCACGTAATAGTTTATGTTCATTGTGTAAATGATCCTCTTTATAATCTACTTCTTATCCATTGCCTTTCCCTCCAACTGTGGCTGTGCCAATTGAATTTGTAGATAGATAAAATTGTGATTTTCTTATTAGAAAATATAATATAAAACGCTGACTGTTGTTTATAATTATTTCTTGCGTTTGATATGTTTTAAAATGCAAATTGTACTTTACTATTTCTTTAAAGACCTATTCAGTTTACATAGTAAGGAAGCGAAGGGGGAAGATTGGTTCTTGTATATTTTACAAGTTTTTAAGTACAATATATGTATATTAGGTTATTTCCTGAGTATTACTAACAAGTGTTTTAAATAGTAATATATAGATAAAATTGGTTCCCTTCGTTGCTGTATAATGAATGTCTACGTTTGTGTACAATGGGTATTTGAACTCTATAAATAGGATTCCTTGATAATAGTAGGGTTCTTTTCATATTCTAAACACATTGGCTTGATATCTAATGAGTGCTTTTACGAAAAATAATATGTTTGAATGGTGATTGCATGCATTGGAAATGGACATAGACATATTACTTCTAAACTTTTCTCCGGTTTGTTATTGAGGCATAGTTGATCGATCCGTTCGTAGTTTGCGAACGATTTGGGTCGATATTTTCACTGAATGTCAGGAGGAATGTTTTCTGTACAACGCAACAGTTATTTATTGATAGTCGTTTTTACAGTCTTTGTCATACTTCAGAGTTTCGTTTGTGGTAATTCTAGCCATGAGGTAATCAACTTAACGAAACCTAATTATATTAAATGCATAGTTTATTGCCAATGGTGTATAACGTTTTAATACCTAATTATTCAAAGTCTGGCTTTCCACTATAATGAATGGCTTGACTCTGTTTACAAGTACTTTCATCATTTTGTAGAGCGTGATCCCTATACGGAATAGTCGTTCTACTTTTGAGATGAAGTCCGATTGTTGCACATCTATCATACCACACCACCCCCTTGTGATTAACCGTGTACCTAACACTGATAAGTGTTGGTGGGTCGCAGATCACACTAACTAGCTTCACCTCAAGATTTCATTTAAATCTAAGACAGTGAAATCTTTGCATAAATTATTTTATCTCATAAACAATTTCAAGTGGGAAGATATCGAAATCCGTATGCCAAGTGCCATCGTGATAAACACCCATTATTGAAGCACTAATAATTTTAGGAGCAATAATACAGTCAAAAATAGGCCATAATAGTTCATTTGAACTCTTATGCAGAGCCAGCTCATCTACAAGTTTGTGCAAACAAAATTGAATGCGGAAAATGCTATTTAAACCAAACAACTGAGTGAGTACAAACGAACGTGTTGTATTTAGAATTTAAAATCAGGCAGATATAAAGTGTAAAAGAACCACACGTCCTTACAAAGACCACATTTTCATTTTTTCACAGATTGAGTGTAAATTTGATAAATATAATACATTGCTTCTGTGAAGGTCAACAACCTACTAACAAGGCAATATGACATGAAAATAAAAAGCCAACTACGAGTAGTATTAAGGGTTTTCATATTTATTATACTCGTGCAAGCAGGCAAACTGAGTGATCGAATGTGGAAATTGAATAACTGCAGACAGAAATATATGTAGTAAACCACCACATTGAGTAATGGGTGATATAGCTTTTGTGCAAAGTTAACAATATATGAATCATGGGTAACTGGGAAGCTTATAGACGACATATATGACTAAAAAACCAATAATGAGCGCATATACAGGAACACACAAGTAGCGTCATAGTCAAATGTAGATAGACATCCGTCTGCCTAAGATAATAAATAACGTTACAATTAAAATTCATAGGTCACTATAATGTTTGTATAATTATGTAGGATTATTTCACGACACTGTTATACATTAAACAAATGTCTACCAATAGAGCGATTCAGGATTATTGCAAGTCGTTATTATTGTTATTATTATCATCAATAGGCTCCATAACCCGTATAAATAGCCTCCATAATTTGAAAAAATCATCACCAAAGATTGAGCAAAATCCACTAATGCTCATGGCAGAGAAAAGCGTTTAGGTAATCCTGGGATTCTTTACTCAGAAATAATATGAAAAAAACTCCCGCGCGCTATATAACAAGGATAGTGGTATATTTCCTCGCTGAGTAAATTTCATTGTTTTGATCGTTTATTACGTACCAAAACTACTGTTTTCACTTTAATTGAATTTATTTCAGTTAAAGTATTCGACTAAAGTACCGTTTTTACGCCTAGAAGCCGCAATCGCAAGGCTCGATCGGTTTCAAGCGGTAAACATAACCTGACCTCTCAGGTCGTCGATAACCCTCCAGAATTCAACGCTAGGTTTGACGAAACTGTTGTTGCTTCTCCCAGCACAGTTGACGAATGGCTACAGGTTGTAAGGAAGAAAAAAAAGTAGTGATATGAAAGGTAATCCTACCCCCGCGAAAGTAGTCGTATAATCGAAAGCTGATCATAGCGACAGACCAACTATTTTTCATAAAATCAAGGAGAGCGAGAGCTCTGAACCTAAAGCTCGTTTTGAGCGTGACATTGTGCTGATTAAGCAGCTGCTTAATCAACGCATGCCTCAAAATATCATCGGGGTCACCTTGCTAAAGCTGTACAGACTAAAGAGTCTAGCGGAATAGAAACTAAACCATTACAGACTGCTTTACGTAGTATTCAACTCTTCGAACGGACGTGACCTAATTTTACAGAATGGACACAAATTAAAGGGTTCAGGAGTCTTTATACGAAAGGACTTACCGTTGGCAGACCGTTTCAGGGCCAGTGAAATGTCACTGAGCCCTAGCCAAATCATCCGGCAGTTGGAACACTGAATGTCGAACAGATCATCGCTCTCTGCCAAGGTCAAGTACAACCAACGCGCATCAGTTAATCGTATGCCATGGACTGGCCCATGCGGCAGTGGTCTTACTTTCGCTTGTATCTACTTTAATTAATATATTTCCGTAATAACGTCCTTTGTGTTGTACAGTCTTCAAAGCATCTATAGTACCTTGATACGTCAATGGGGGTAGTCCACGTAAGGTGCTGACCACGAGATGTGACTTCGACGTTAGTTGGTTCGTCACACCATTCATGTTTAACTCGAGTAAGCCTCCAATCATTTCGACATAGATCATCTACGTTGGTGATCTACACCGTGTAAAAAACGGGAAGTCGAAAAAGAACTACAACTTAGGTTAGACGCTGGTGAAAAGGACCTGAAAAAGCCAGTCTGAGTGAAGCCACTTAAATAGGCTTCGGATCTGCTACACTAATGCCCGGAGCTTACTTAACAAGCGATCGGAGCTAGGTGTACAGATTTACTCTACAAAGCCAGACATAATCGCAGTAACAGAAACCTGGCTGACACAGGCTATAGATAGTATGGAACTTGATTTCGAGGGTTTTACGTTAGTAAGGGCCGACAGAACACAAAAGCGTAAAGGAAGGGGAGTAACTCTATTCATTAGGAATGATATCCCATTTGCCATTATCGATAGTGTATCTCATGAGAGTGAGATGTATGGATTAGTTAGTTGCCGCTTGAAATGCAAGGGACAAGAGCTGCTGATTGGTTTGGTCTATCGCAGTTCAAGCTGTGAGGCAAATGAGATCCTGTTAAGCAGTCTCAATACTTTAATGTACCTAGACTGGGAAAACCTGCGAACTGAATCGTCAGAAAATTTCTTCGAGCAGGAACTAGTTGATGCGGTTATCACATGTGCTCTAGTACAACATGTGAAAGAAGCGACTAGGTACGACGCGGACACTGAATCATCCTTACTAGATCTGATACTCACTCACTATTTGGATGACGTTGCGAACCTTCATTATATGCCACGCCTAGGTAAAAGTGATCACGCAGTTTTAATTGTCGGCTTCCATATAACTGTCAGTCTCGAGCACGCGTCAGTCCAGTCCAGATCCAACGTCTGGAAAGCAAACATACCAGATATCATGCACTCAGCATCGTTAGTAGATTGGACAATAGACCCAGAGTCCTCCATTGAAACGGCCTGGGACGCATTACGAAATTCATACTTAAAAGTTACCACACCCTACATCCCTTGGACTATACTGAGGGGGCCGAGAAACTCCCCACCATGGTTCAGTAGGGAGGTCCGCATCCTACTCCGTGAGAGAAGAAAAATTTGGGATAGATTTAGGTTACTGGGGACTGATGAAACTAAATCCCAGTATAGAAAAGTCCGGAAAACCTGTGCCTCGAATCTCCGTAAGTCTAGAAAGTTGTACGGAGAAAAGATTGTTAAGGAATCCATAGAATGTCCTAAACGCTTGTATTCTTATATAAACCAAAGGACAAAGAGAAGAGGATATATTCCTGCTCTATGGGGAGGACGACTTTGGTAATGCTCAAGTGTTCTCAAACTACTTTAGCAATGTATACACCATAGAAGTAACCTTCCCATCAGCGCATACAGATCCCCCCATATATACAATGAATAGCGTGACCATTAAAGAACTCGATGTCTTTGGTCTACTAAATAAGCTTGACATAGTTAAATCCACGGGGCCCGATGAATTGCATCCTAGGCTACTGAAGGAATTATCTAACTTCGTTGCGAACCCTTTAAGTATATGCTTTAACCTATCCGTAACGCAGGGTCGTTTCCCCAAAGACTGGAAAAACGCTATAGTAAGTCCTGTCTTCAAAACAGATACGACACACAACCCTGAGAATTACCGCCCCGTTAGCCTAACTAGTGTGGTTGCTAAAATCTTAGAAAAGATTATCCGGAGCTGCTTAAGTATCTCGATAAAAACCGGATCCTCTCAGAGAAGCAGCATGGTTTCAAAATAGGTTACTCTTGTCTCACTAACTTATTAGTGGCTCGGGAAAGCTGGTTCGCTCCTAAGGACCAAAAGGTATTTGTAGACGTAGCCTTCATTGATTTCAGCAAAGCTTTTGACAAGGTTACGCACAACCGGCTGTTATATAAGTTAAGAAATGTCGGTATTGGAGGCAATCTATTTACGTGGATAAAAGACTTCTTAGCTGGGCGTCAACAAAGAGTTCGGGTGAACTCAAAGTTATCTAGCTGGGGAACTGTGCTTAGTGGAGTGCCTCAGGGTACAGTTATGAGGCCAGTTCTATTCC